ATTGAGAAACACTCCCTTAGGGAGAGGCATCTGCAGGATCTGAAGCTCCGCCCCTCTTTCATGCACGGGTGCAATGTTGCATCACACATACAAAAGAGGTGGAACTTGGGTTGCCCTTGGAGAACTGTAATATTACAGATGCACTATTAGGGGCATAAACTAGTTTCCCACACCATGATCAAACCATAATGTGATTTGTGTGGCTAGGTTGTTGTATGACCCCAGTCGCTGTGATTTATTCAGTAAACCAGGATTAGACAAACCATGGTTCAATACGATTTATGCACCCAGAGAATTGAGATTTTACTTACCTGGTTACCTTTGGGTCCCAAAACTCCAGTAGGACCCTGGAGACAAGAAAAAAGGAAGCATGAAAAAGAAGAATGGTTGAAAAGTTACTCGAGTTGCAGAAACATAACCATAAAGGAGTTACATAGAAATACCTTTTAGACTAGGTAAGTCTACATCTGAATGTTTGATTTAAGACAATCTCTTCTAACTAAATTTATTACTTAAATCTAAGACAGTATTTGGAGCACTTTTGCAGTAGATCAGTGTTTCTCAAGCTTGGCGACTAAGCTGCGTGGACTTCAACTCCCAGAATTCCCTAGCCAGCACGCTGGCTGGGGAATTCTGGGAGTTGAAGTCCACACAGCTTAAAGTCACCAAGCTTGAGAAACCCAGCAGTAGATGCATGACAGTGGAAGAAGTTGTGGGCAGCAAGCTCCGCCCATTTTGTGCTCTAAAGTGACATCACATGTAATGATTCCATACATCATGTTGTGGGTGGAGCTGCCACTAAGCCCCGCCTCCCACAAAACAGGTGTTTCAGGAAGACTGGTCTTAAAAAGGACATTTCTTATCTTCTGTAACAGAGAAGACAACATTAATTTAAAAACAGTGTTTAACATCTATAATTCATGCAGTAAAGAATGGTAAATTTGCGTATGTGTCTGGTTTTATTCTATTTTTACTGTATGTTATATTGTTTTTATTGAATGTTAATTAATATTTATTGTTGTTTTATTGTGAACCACCCAGAGTCACTTTTTCGTGAGATCTAAATTTGAAATCTAAATAAATATAAATAAATAAAAATGATGTTTTTCTTTGTAGCCCTCCTCAGTCAGTGGAAATATTTTAAATCGATTCTGTAATTTAGATTACAGAACTGACTGAATGAACAGATGAAATGTTCCAAAGGGTTCTGCACTGCCAGTGACATTCATCAAAGCCACATCTGGTCAATTTTTTCACTTTTGTGGAGGGCTCACCTGCTCACCAGATTCACCCCGTAGCCCCGTGGAACCGGGTCGGCCAGGTTCCCCGCTTGGTCCTCTGCGACCCTGGAAAGTTAAATAAAAGAGAGAAATAAGAGAGGAAGCTGAAAAAAGGGAGAGGGGATTTGATCACAAGTTGGATCAAACTACATAGTTGCCATGCAGTTATCTGAAATCAAGGACATTTCAGAGGATGGCTCAAAGCAGTCTGAAAAGGAGAAAACATCTTATCTAGAAATAAAAGGTTGCTGATTTGTAATCTGGCAACTCTGCATTTTGCAGATCCCTATGAATCGCTTTACTTTTCCATCCATTCAGCCCCATTTAGTTTTGTAGAACCTTGCATTACGTGCTACTTTCATTTATACCAGGGTTTTTCAAACTTGGCGACTTGAAGGTGTGTGGACTTCAACTCCCAGAATTCC